TCCCTGCAGGTCAGTGGCTGCTGGTTTCTCCCTGCACTTGCTCCTCCCTCCCTGCAGCTGCTGGGCTGGCAAACATTACTGCCCTCAGTGCCCTGCCTCTTTCCTTCTCCTTCCCGTAATAACCGCTGTGAGGCCCCAGGTCTCCCTGTCTTCTGCTGTTACCCTCCTGGTGTCAACGTCCCAGCGTCACTCTTCCCAGTGCAGAGCAGCAGGTCTTAGGTGAGATGGGTGTCCTGGGGATGCCCTGTGGGTGCTCTGTCCTTGCTCAGTCACACAGAGCTGCATGCTGCAGGGTCCAGGGTGGTAGGTTTGGGGCATTTTGGGTTTGTGTGCAGTCAGCACCCCTAAACCTTCCCATGATCTGGGGTCTCTTGCAATAACCCCTGGGACCCAGTTCCCTGCTCCCCTGGGGTGCTGAGGTAAGGGAAGAGGGGCTATTCTAGTCTAGACCCCAGATCTGGGGGATGCCAGCACCCTGTGGGCACCCCTGTCCTTAGTAGGGCTCTGGGTGGGCTCCTGTCCCCGCAGTTGGGACCCTTGTTCCCAGCAGTGGGTGCACCGATGGCCACGGTGACCTCTGGTCTGTGCTCTGGTGCTATCGCTGCCACTCCCTGAGCAGCCACTAGCCAGGGCAGCCTGGTCACTTGGCACTGTGCCTGCTCAGGGAGTGGCAGCGATAGCACCAGAGCACAGACCAGAGGTCACCGTGGCCATCGGTGCACCCACTGCTGGGTGACCAGGCTGCCCTGGCTGGTGGCTGCCCTGAGAGGGTGGAGGGGCTGGCCTTCCCTCATCAGCCAGCCCTTCCACATGTCCCTGTCCCCAGCAGGATGGCCAATCCGGACCCCTACCTGCGTCAGCCGTGGCTCACAGTGCATGGCATCCCCATGGTCAATGCCTTCGCCCACAACTGGGAACGGGTTGACACCTTCCAGAGCCGCCCTGAGGACATTGTAGTGGTCACCTTCCCCAAATCTGGTGAGCATCCCCAAGACAACCAGATGTGCTGGTACTGGGGGGGCAAGTGTGCTGTTCAGCTGAGACCCACTGCCTGGTGGCATGCAAAATATTTAGGGGGTGTCAGGACAGAGTTGTGCAGGATTTCCCTTTTCCCTCATGGCATCTGGTCAAGGTCTGAGGGATTCTTAGTGCTGAGACACCTGATGGTGCCCTGGCTGCTGCCCTTGATGGGTTCCTTTCCCCAGGCACCACTTGGGTCAGCGAGATTGTGGACATGATCCTGCAAGGCGGAGATCCTGAGAAGTGCAAGCGGGACATTATCAGCAAGAGAGTGCCTATGCTGGAGTTCTCTGCCCCTGGAAAGATGGCAGCAGGTAGTGAGGTGCAGGGGCACCCCTCAGGGTCTAGGTCCCAAGGGTTTTTGCCAAGGGCCCACTGAGGAAGTGCTCTGGGATTTCCCAGGAACAGACCTGCTGGCCACCATGCCCTCACCCCGCATGGTGAAGACTCATCTGCCGGCAAATATCCTACCCAAATCCTTCTGGGAAAACCGCTGCAAGGTAACCCCCAACCCTGGTCCCTGCCATGGGGGAAATTGCAGCTCCCCTGTTCCCCTGAGACAGGACTCCCCACTTCTCCCTCCAGCATCCTAAGTGGTCATGGGAGTTCTAGCAGCTGGAGCGTCCTCCCTATTGGGGGTCCAGGGGCAGCCCCTCATACCTCCATGGCCCATTTGCAGATGATCTATGTGGGGCGCAATGCCAAGGACGTGGCTGTCTCCTACTACTACTTTGATTTAATGAACAAGTTGCTGCCACACCCAGGGACATGGGCCCAGTACCTGGAGGAGTTCATGGCTGGCAGAGGTGGGACAGGACATTCCTGGGTGTGTGCAAGGGACCCTGCAGAGGGCTGTCA